TTTTCTAAGTCTCTTAATTTTTCACGTATGCGGCCAATTAGACATTCTAAAAAATCGTTTAACACATTTAAATAAGTACATGAATTATCACAAAATGCTAAAATATTGCATAGCAAATCATAATCGTTTGCTTAGGTATGTTACTGGTAAGAAAATATATGGGTGTATAGAAGCAGAATTCATGTAAAACGTGTCGTAAAATATATTAGTACATTAAATATCTTTTAATAGAACTATTGATGTTATTGAAGATACATATAATATAATACTTCTCTCCTTATTTATATATCATGCAATTCTCTTCGCATTTTTCGGATTTCGAATGATTAGTGTAAGTATTTAAATGTTTGGATAAGAATTTATTTAAATAAGTTTACTTAAATTAATAAATAATATTTCGTAAAAAATGTATTAATTTAAATTAACAGATATACAATTTTAATAAAAAATTACTATATCTATGTACTGTAATTTAAAAATTTTTAATTAATGTTATTAAGGAAATTAATTTTTTTCATTTATTTCATAAATTAATTAGCTATTTGATGAAGGAAATGATATGTCGATCACTCATTTAATATATTTCTTCTCCGTCGTTATAAATTTATTTGCACATATGTGCCTATATTGTGCTCTTGGTGAGATTTTAATAGCTCAGGTCAGTTATACATACATATACCATCTCCTCCAGAAAAATGACACAAATAATAAAATATAATATTGTTCAGAAGAAAAGAAAATAGCGTATTTTTAAATTAATTATTTTGGCAATATTAAACATAGAATTAATAAAAAGTTGCTTATTTCAAATTTCAACTTGTGTCACTTTTTCTAATAGAAAGTTGAAGTATATTAAACAATTTGCATATATTATAATATAGAATACAAAAAATTACAATTTGTGTCACTTTTTTGCAAAGATATATTTTTAGAAAAAGAAAAATTTTTTTTTCTATATATATATAGAAAAAAAAATTTTTTATACTTTCAGCACAAAAACTGTTTATTTGGTGCTGAAGGCATAAAAAAAAATTTTTTTATGGTGCAATTTTTAACAGCAACTAAATATTTTGTTTATACGACAAAAAAATAATGTTTGTTTAGCTGCCCTCTCCTTCCACTTACCAAATCTTAATAAATAAATTATATAATAATGAGCTATGTATGTGCTCTCAAAATCAGCGAAAAAAATTTTTTTGCGCTTGTTTTGTTTAGTTAACAAAATTATTTTTTTGTTAAAGTAGGCTGTTAGTCTCCCACGTATTAATAACAACCAATTTGGAAAATCAAATGCACAAGATTTATGCGCTATTTATGCGCTTTCATATTCACATAGTTTCAATTTTTGTGCTGCATCCCTTAAGACATTTCCCTCTTAGAGCAAACAATTATATTCATTCTTAAGTCGTTAAAATTGCAAAATTACGATATCTAACTATGCAAAATATATCGTTATTAATTTATGCGTTACCATTTCCAAGCAATTTCTATTTTTTGCACTGCGTAAGTTTGCAATCTATTATTAATATGTGGAAAACTGATTGGCAGCCTATTCAGCCCCCTCCTCAAAAAAAATTTTTTTAGCTAACTGAAAAATTATTTTTGCGGATTTTGAAAGCGTATAAATAACCCATTATTATAGAATTTATTCATTAAGATTTAATTAAGTAGAAAGAAGAGGCAGCTTTTGCAACATTATCTTTCTGTTTTGTAAATAACAAAAATATTTGTTAATATCAACTAAATAATTTAGTTTATATAAAATTACAGATTTGTTCGGTATATTTTAACAAAAGTTATTTTCAACCAAAATTTTTGTTATTACAACAAAATTTTGGTTTATGAAACAAAACATATTTTTTATTGTTAGTGTTATATGATAATAACTAATTTTTATTTGAATAAATACAATATACATATCAATTGATATCTAAAAGTGCTTCTTATATTTTCAAGTGCAATAAAATATATTATGCAGCATATAACAACAAATGGTACACTCTAAATTCAGAAACTATAGAAGATTTGTTGCTCTTAATGACAAGAGGTTCTAAATCGATCTATCTCACCGCTGGAAAAATGTCTCCTGTTACAATGACTACATTTTGCAGTGTAAGATTAATGTTTGTCCTGAATATTAAAAGAAAAGATATCGATATCACTAAAATTTTATTAAAAATTATTATAGAACTTATACTACATTTTATGTAAAATTCGATTTTTTTATTTTGTTCTATTGATGTACAATTATAGTAATATAAAATATGTATAATTACGATAAATCAAAGTTATATTGTTAACTGTATAACCATTAGAAAATATATTTTTCAGTTTGTGAGATCATCTGTTGGTTATATATCCGTCTTGCACACAATGAAAAGTTGATAAAAAAAATAAGAAAAATGTAAAATTTTTAAATGCGCAATTTTTAATAGAATATTATAAAGCTTGAGAATAAATAAGTCTTCTTGCTTTATTTGTGTAAGACATACTGTGTATTATATTAAGCAATAACAGAAAAATTGAAAATTTAATTTGAATTTAAGAATACCGTTCCATGAATTTTAAAGTTAAAACATCTAGTAAAGTATTAATTTTATTTTAGCACTGATTTTATGCAATATTATGTAATATAGATTAATCAGTTTGGGATGAACTATTAATAGTTTAAACTATTGTAAAAGCAATTTATTTAATAAAAAGTATGTCAAACTAAATCGTTTAGTTTTTATGATGACTTCTTATGTTTTGAACAGTTTTATTCCATATTATGGACAAATATTATATAATATAAAGGTACTCGTTGAAATCATCTCTATTTGATAAAATAAAATAATTTTTTTATATAATATAAAAATTGTTAGCATTAATACTATAGTTTTATATCAAAAAATTCCTAGTTTATTTTCATCTAAGATTTCTAATAATATATAGATATAATATTTTGATTATTAAAAATATTAACCAGTTATATGTATATCCTTTCTGTTTAACATGAAAAATTGAAAAGTAATAATTTTTCCTCCAAGAAATAAAATTTCATAAACAGAGTTAATTTCAACATATTCGTTGTATTTATATAACAAAAAAAATTTTACTGTTATTGATCAATTTCTAACTTTCTAAACAAGTTTCTAGAAAGTTTTATGAATTATTATTAATAATAACTAGGATGCAGGATTAAAATAATTTTCTTTATCAATTTTATTGTGATTAAGTGTATTACACTACATTACAATACGTTATACTAACACTACAATACATTATTATCAAGTGTGATAGATATAACTGGTTACAGTTTGACATTATAGCATAAACTAAGACTGACATCAATCGATCGACAAAAAAAGCATCTATAAACTGTTATTTAAGTTTTTTAATAGAATGTGTAAAACGCAAGTGAGCAGACACGTTATGGCCGTTGTACATTTTTAATGATTCCTCTTTCAAAGTGATCGTCTCTCTCTTAGAGAATATTTTCCACACGCAGTAGGTATTTTTTATTGCATACAAAATGACTTTGCTGCACGAAAAAAAAGCAACTGTCAGTCCCTACTTAACACTCAGTATGGATACTTCAAACTTATTGGAATATCGAGGTGCTTTATTACTATTATCATAATCACAATTGACCAGGATTGTTTCGTAAAGAAAGAATATTTTAGATTAATATAAACATATATGATTATGCGTTCGTTAATAAATTTGAACGTGTTCTCATTTTTATCTTGTATTCTACTACGACAATATAACTTCTATGCAAAACGTTGAAAAAACGTTGCTAAGATGTTGCAATGTTCAATGTTGAAGTGTGAATGTTTTTTCAACGTTATATCTATACATT